AAGAGGATCGATGCTGTTAAAGAACGGCCATGTTAGTCTAATATGGCCGCCAGCTTGAAACGAAGCGCAACTATTCTGTTCTTATAACTTTTAATTAGTAGCTTGGTAGGTTTTGTAGGTGTGAATATCAAGATATAAAACCGTCACTTAAAACTTCATCCTTCGATGTTAGAATCCCATCTCTTTAACAAGTGGAAACGAGTACGATGTTAAACATCGGCCATGTTGGTCTAATTTGGCCGCAATCTTGAAACGAAGTCCAGCATCTCAGTTACAATGTCATTTACCTTAGAACCTTGCCAGTCTTTGTCTCTATATCAAGATTTAGCTCTTGAAATCAGAATCCATTTCCTGAACGGGTTGAACAGACTGTGAAGTCCAAACAACTACCGATGTTTCACATCATCCTTTTTTCCATGTTGATCTAATATGGCTGTCGTCATGAAAGGAAACCCAACATTTAACGTCTAATAATGTTCTTCTTAGTATTTTGGTAGTTTTTTTTTTTTTTTAATTTTACATTTTTTTTACATTAAGACAGTCTACTCTCGCCTGGAACGTCATCTTTCGATATAAGAATCCCATCTCTTTCACGGGTTGAAAAGAGGATGAAGTCCAAAGAACGGTCATGTTAGTTTAATATGGCCACCATCTTGAAATTTTCTGGTCTAATAACTTTTTATGTAGTTAGCTTGGTAGTTTTTGTGTAGATATCAAGATAATATATGGATTTAGCCAAGCTTAAAACGAGAGCTTCTAATCCGGATTGCTTAAAGCCTGATTAAGCTAACACAGAATAAGCGAGAATTTTGATTTGAGTTTTCCAAGGTTGTTGAGTTTCGTGAGGTTTACTGTTTCTATTATTTGGCCTTCTGTTTTGAGTTTGAGTGATCTCAAACTACAAACGCAGCCCATGACCCAAAAGCAGTGATGAACATTTGCATGGAAGAAAAATTATACTTACCTTAACTTTTAATCCTGGGTTAGCGGCCCTATTCTCCCAGAGGAGAGCTAGGAATTAGTAGTAGCGTTAACCACCTTTCGAACAACCTGGTCCTGATCGTCGCCCTAATTACAACAAAAAAAAAAACAAAATGGCGGCCAGTGTGACATAATTTATGACGTCATCATAGCTTGAACAACCACAGACAATACTGAAATAAAGTTTAAGATACTAATCATTCCAAATATACTTCCAGGCAAAATATCATGTGCCTCTAACAAAAGAAACATATAAGAAAATATCATTTTTGATGGTTTGGTTTTAGATTTCCAAGGTGGCGACCAAAAGGAAGGTATTGGGGTAAATTTGAAATTCGATTCACAAAGTGAAAGCTACCATTCTATCCTTGCTATCATACATTTTTATGATGCTTAGTGGTCAAAGATTAAGAATATACAGGTTTCGAATAAAAGCGGAGTCCCCCGACGGGCGTCGAGCGTATATATGCCCTTCCGACCGCACAGCAGGTCAGATGCGTAACCCATTGGGCTACCGGGGGACTCCTTGACAAGGTTAGAAAATTTAATAGCTAAATACGTGAAACAACAATATAGGTGTTACTGGCAAACTAACTTTACTTTAACCAATATGGATTAACAAATATTTTAAGACCTTAAAAAGATTGGCGTCTCGATAACTTATAGCTACTCTAAGGATTTTCCTTCTTCTAACAATAGNATATACCCTTCCGACCGCACAGCAGGTCAGATGCGTAACCCATTGGGCTACCGGGGGACTCCTTGACAAGGTTAGAAAATTTAATAGCTAAATACTTAAAACAACAACATACGTGTTACTAACAAACTAGTTTTGCTTTTACAAATGTGGATTAACAAAAGTTTTCAGACCTGAAACAGATTGGGTTCTCAAAAACTTGTAGCCACTCCAAGGAGTTTCGTTCCTCTAACAATAGTAACTCGCCGTCTTAGCAAACCTTTTCTAGCTGGCAAAGCTTAGGCTAAAGTTTATTTCTGTGCCAAATGAACTCCGATAAAGTGTTGGAACAAACTATCATGAAAAGTGTTAAATAATTTTTCATTTTCATAAAGCCTTTTTTAAGTCGGTTGTTATAAATCACATGTTAAAAACGCTTGGTGTTCTATTCGCTCATGTGTTTCCATATTGGTTAGGTGGTAATTTTTAGCGGTTAAAAAGAATGAAAGCATGACTAGTCAGGCATTTTACGGAAGCTCAAAGTGGATGCCTTTTCTTGAAAAGCATTTTAACATCAAACTTACTGCTTCAAACGGAAGAAAAGAGGATTGTACAAAAAATATATCGATTCAATCGACACCACAAGAAAGAAAAAAAAAGGTGCGGAGTCCCCCGACTTGCGTCGAGCGTATATANTACATGTTACTGACAAACTAATTTTGCTTTTACAAATGTGGATTAACAAAAGTTTTCAGACCTGAAACAGATTGGGTTCTCAATAACTTATAGCCACTCCAAGGATTTTCGTTCTTCTAAAAATAGTAACTCGCCGTCTTAGCAAACCTTTTCTAGCGCCAAAGCTTAGGCTAAAGTTTAGTTTTGTGCCAAATGAACTCCGATAAAGTGTTCGAACAAAACCATCATGAAAAATGTTAAATAATTTTTCATTTTCAGAAAGCCTTTTTTAAGTTGGTTGTTATAAATCACATGTTCAAAACGCTTGCTGTTCTATTTGCTCATGTGTCTGCATATTGGTTAGGTGGTAATTTTTAGCGCTTAAAAAGAATGAAGACATGTCTAGTCAGGCATTTTACGGAAGCTCAAAGTGGATGCCCTTTCTTAAAAAACATTTTTGTTTCAAATTTATTTTAAACGGAAAAAAACAAGATTATACAAAACGTATGTCGATTCAATTGACACCACAAGAGAGAAAAAAAAAGGTGCGGAGTCCCCCGACTTGCGTCGAGCGTATATATGCCCTTCCGACCGCACAGCAGGTCAGATGCGTAACCCATTGGGCTACCGGGGGACTCCTTGACAAGGTTAGAAAACGTACTAGCTAAATACGTAAAACAACAACATATCTGTTACTGACAAACTAATTTGGCTTTTACAAATGTGGATTAACAAAAGTTTTCAGACCTGAAACAGACTAAGTTCTCAATGACTCTTAGCCACTCTAAGGATTTTAGTTCTTCTAACA